CTACAGACGTATCCCATCCTGTGGCAATGCAGCTTCACAAGGCCTGTAGCGCGCCCTGCCCCCGCGCGACGCACACCAGCAGAGGCCGCGGGATGAGCCACGGCGGGCCCCACGCCCCGCCGGCAGGGGACACCGCGCGGGCGGCTCACCGGGCGCGGGCGCGGCTTCGGCGGCGCCGCCGGCCTTCTTCTTGGCCTCGGCGACGTCAGCCTCGCTCTCAGCGATGAACGCAATGGCGGCGCCCACAGTCGCGCGCTCGCCCTCCTGCGTCAATGTGTGTTGTGTGTGTTGTGTGTGTAGCGTGTGTGGTGTGTGTGTGTGTGTGTGTGTGTGTGCATGTGCTTGTATGTGTGCGTGTGTGTCCAGGCGCCGTGGGCCGTTGGGGCCAGGAGGCAGCCAGGGCAGCTGGGGTGGGAGAGGGCCCACCACACGCGACTCTCATGGATCTGGCAATAACGGCAGCCTGCACAACTCCGTTGCGCACGTGTCCAGTCCCCTGGGGTCGAGCTGCCTGCCAGGGAAGATCCGCGGCCAAGCGCGGGCCGGCCGCCCCCGGCCGCACGCGCCTATCTGCAGGTCGCCGCCGCAGCACCCCCCTCCCTCGCGGCTGCATGTCAGACGTCACTCTGTTGTCCCAGGCCCGCCGCGACGCAGACCTTGCGAGCTGCAAGCCCTTGTGCTCCTTGTCACTATCAACGCTCTCGCGTCCCCCAAATAACAACGCCAGATCTCGCTCAGACCGCCTGCGCCCCCTCAGATCACGCGCCCGCCGCCCCCAAACCCCACCTGGACCACGATGGCCCCCAGGATGCCGTCGTTGAAGGACTCCACGTCCATGTCCGCCTTGTCGGACTCGACCACCACGATGGGCTCCCCCTTGGCCACCTTGTCCCCGGGGCTCTTCAGCCAGGAGACGATCTTGCCCTGCGGGCCGGCAGCGGCGCCGCGGCGCGCGGCGCTTGTCAGCCGCGCGCGCTGCTGGGGACCCATAGGCCGCGGCTGCTGCCGGTGTGCGGCGCGGCCGCGGCTGCGGGCGCGTGCGGGCCGCTGAGCAATCGCCGAGCGGCGTGGCGGGCGGGGGGCGGGGCGGCGCGGCCTCGGACTGCGGCGTTTGAATGCGCACCTCCGTCATGGTGCTGCTCAGGGCAGGCATGAAGACATCCTGTTGGTTAGGGGCGTGCCGCATGGAAGAGCAGACGAGTTGATGAAACAGCCGCCATCGTGCATGTGGCCGCTGCGGCACCACACGGCCACCTGGGGGTGACCGCGCGGTGGACGCTTTGGTTGCGTCGCGCCCCGCGCCGCTGCGCACGCTGCTGCACGCCGCCTCTGGTGATCAGAGCAGGGATCCGTGCTCGGAGGCTGCGGCGTGCGTGCCACGTGATGCATGGTACTGGACGCGCGGGCCCTGTTCCGCCGATCCGTGCGCCCCTAGAGCGATCGAAAGGCGCCGTGTGCCGGGCAGCCAGCTGACGCAGGCGAGCTGTTGGGGCTGTGCATCTCGCACGGCCTCTCTACCCGCTGTCTAGTACCGTAGATGCGTAATTCGCATTCAATACATAATATACAGGCAATTGTCCTAGGGAATGCGCGCCGTTCACGCCCCCAATGAAACGCTTGCTGCTTCGATCTGCTCCTCCGCTCCCACAAGGGCATCGCCAGCACGCTCTCATTCACACGCTGCTGAGCATAAATCGATTGTACATACCTTCACCGCGTGCACGGCAGTCTTCGGGCGCACGGCCGCGGGCGCGCTGGCACCCAGCCGGGCCGACTTCGCGGAGAAGGCAGTGGTCCTCATGGCTGATGCTGCCTCTGAGGGGTGGATCAAAGACTGGGTGAAAGTGAATGCAGCACAAGCCCACACGGCATTCAACGCCTCCCGCCTCTCTTCCGTTCCTGCTGCGGTCCCGGTGGTGAAGTTGGCTGGCAGCTGTGCAATATGACTCGAGTTGGGCGCAGCTGGATGTGCAGGGACGACAGTTTTCATATGTTGCATAGATTTTCCCACCCTAGCCCCTGCATACGACTACGTGACCATCACAGTTGGAGATCATGCTTGCACTCCAGCAACGAATCACGCACTTGTACCTGTCTTGACAACTTGAAAAGCTGCGGGGCTTGGCGCAGAGCCGAACCTCCGCAGCGCCCAGCCACTCAGCCCCGACGGAACCGCCTCAGCACAAGCAGCTTGCTGGAGCTCGATGCAACGGTTTTGATCCCCGTGGCCGCGCCTGGTTTCCTGCTAAGAGTGATGAAAGTTGGAGTTAGCCTTAGCTTGAACCCCACGATCAGTCGCTCAGCCACGAGCAGGCTCTGTGCAGCCGACGACCAGCGGGCGTGCTGAGTGCCGCGGGCGTGGTTGCGCGCCGCCCCGCCTAGGCCGCCGGCGGATTGTCCATCGCGGCCATGGGGGCGCGTCCACTCTCCTCAGCGCACGCCAGCGGCGCCGGCCAGCGCCCCTGGTCGGTATTCCGCCGGCTGGCGCCGCGCTACCAAATCGTGGTAGCTTGTTTCCTGGCCACGTTTGTTGCTTACGTCGAACGCGTCGGCTTCAGCATAGCTTTTACAGAGATAGCGAAAAGCGCGGGCGCGGGGGAGGCGCTCAAGGGGGCGGTGCTGTCGGCGTTCTACTGGGGGTATGGCGTGTCGCAGGTGGGCGGGCGGCCCTGGCGGGCACCGCGCCGGGGTGTGTGTGTGCGCCTGCCGATTGCAGAGCAATCGTATCGAAGAGGGATTCATGATGCAGCGTCGCGACGTCCGTCGGCGCACATGCGGATTGCTGTTGTTGTGCCCGGCAACGGTCACGTAAAAACGTGCACGCAGGTAATCGGCGTCGGCCTCGAATCACGCACCCCGCGACACGCTTCGAGCTTGGCCCGCTTCGAGGTCACCCCCTGTTGCTCTCGCCCCTGGCCGTGGCCGCCCAGATTCCGGGCGGCTGGGCGGCGCAGATCTACGGCGGCCGCATCATGCTGGTGATCTCGTTCGCGCTGTGGTCAATCGCGTCCGTCCTCACGCCCGGCAGCCTCGCTGGCGGGACGCGCGGCGTCGTCGCGGCGCGTGTGTGCGTCGGCGTCGCCCAGGGATTACTCATCCCGGCGGTGCACACGGTGCTGTCGCAGGTGGGGGCCGGGCGCGGTGCCCGCGGGATGGGCCGGCCGCCGCTGCCGGTGCGCATCAGGGGTTCTACGGCTGCGGACGTCGCAGGTGCCACCCCCCCTTCCCCCTAAATCACACATGCGCACCGCTTCAGCATTGGCCTTCCACAGTTGAGCGGCCTGCGCGCCGCTCCCTGTCATCGTTGCCGCGTCGTCGCTGGCCTCGGTCAAACCGCTCTCCAACACCGTTGACCGCGCCCCTGCGCCCACAGTGGATCCCGCCTCATGAGAGGGCGCGTGCCGTCTCCCTCACGACCTCAGGTGCGTGCCAGCTCCCCTTGTGCCCCTCTCCGCCACCCGCGCCTAGCCCCCGCCTTTTAGCTGCTGGGAATTCCCTTCTGATAACGCCGTCGCTACACGGTTCTGTTTGATGACTTGACAACGTAGTGGTCATGACTACCTGTCATGCAGTGTCGACACCGAACATGTCGTGTTGACATCGGTACTGATGCGAGCGTTCTCGCACCGCCCCGTGCCCGCCAGGCATGTACCTCGGATCCGCCGCGGCCATGCTAGCCCTGCCTTCGTTGGCCGCCGCCGCCGGCCCCGCGTCGCTGCTGCGCGCGGTCGGCGCACTGGGGCTCGCGTGGCTAGCGCTCTGGCTGGCGGTTGGGCGGGAGGTGGCGCACAGGTGTGCGCGCCCGCGTTTCGCAGGGAAAACGGCGCCGTTGCTTGGGCAGATGGACGCAGCCCCTCATGCGGGGTCCAGGGGCGTCGACCGCTGATCCTTGAGCGGGCCTGGCTGGGCGAACGTGGCTGGAGATCTGATGCTGATGTTGCGAATTCCCTGACCATTTTCTCACTCAGGGAGGCCTTGATACCCCTGGCGCACCAGCTAGGGGATGAGAAGCCTCAACAGCAGCAGCAGCAGCAGCAGCAGCAGCAGCACCCGCAGCAGCAGCACTCGCAGCATGCGGCTTTTCAGCCGCCGTCGGCGGCGTGCAGCGGCGCGGCCCTTCCCCGCGGCAGCAGCGGCGGCGGCGCCGCCAGCGGCGGCTCCAGC